AGCAATCACCTTGTAGCACTTAGAAAAAAAAAAAAAAGACTGTTTTTGAAAGAACAAATTTGAAGGCTACTATGGCTTTCTTCCCTCTTGGATTCTTCCTCCTGATTATCCTGCTTTGCTGCAAGGATTTCTAAATATTGCCCCTCTTAAAAGCAATCTTCTCATCTTGCTGTACTTTGTACACACTTGGCCTGCGTGCTGTGGAGAACAGCCCCCCAGTTCCTGCTCTCCCAGAGTCCCAGGCTGGGGACTGACTGTCCTATGGAGTAGGAATGGGCAGGTATCAAAGGGGAAGTTCTTTGGTGGGGGGAAGGGGAAGGGATATCTGTTATTTGTGGTTGACCACGTCTTTGAACACCCTCTCTCCATTTTGATAGGGTCCCACTATTTTAATCTCATGTTCCCAAAATACAATCCTAAAAACTACATTTTCTAGCTGCAAGGGCTAGGCGTGTGGTCTAGATTCTACCAATCAGACACACTCATTCAAGACTCTGATTTGGGAGTGAGCCCCCGGTGGAAGAGGTTTTGGCATCATGCCATGGGCGCAGGCTGTGGCAGAGGCAGAGGGAGAGAATGTAGACTTGGGCAGTTCTGCAGAGTGCTTCTAGGGGTGGCCTCCCATCAGCCCCATCGGTGGCACGGCTCTGGGCATTGAGCCTGTAAGTTTAGGCTTGAGCCCGTTTCTCTGGTCTTCCCTTTCTAATATCCACTCATAAATTTCTCCTTTTCAACTTCAACTACCCAAGGTGGATGCTTTTATCTGCAGCTAAAAATTACGTGACCCAATAGGCACACACAGATATGTGATGTAACGCCACTTGCAAATAAGTTCTAGAAAGCTCTGCTTGTAGAGAAGACTACATCTCTCAAATAGAAAGAGTCTAATCTTGACCTGGGCTTGCCATGGAGGAGCCCTGCAAAGGGCAGGAGGTTGGAGTGAGCTGTTCTTACCTCTCAGACAGAACTCAGGAAAAAAGTGATTGCTCCCAGGTTTGTTGCAGCATTAAAAAAAAAAAAAAAAAAAGACTGCTGCTAAAACGCAGGATCATGTACATTTACTTTTGAGAGACAATCAAACAGGTAACAGTCTAGATGGAGTTAATCTAGGAACATTGCCTCATGTCCAGGAACCTTTTTCTCTCTGCGTGAAGTGCCACCATTAGAGAGAGCTTCCCCTGGGTCTGGAATATTTTCTTCATCGAGATGAGTGTCCTATTGGAAGGCAAATCCTTCTAAGAGGGATTACACCTTCATCACGAGCTGTATGGGGGCTTTAGTTGACACAGGACTAAGTTCTTAAGAAAGACACCCAAGAAGGCCCCACGATAGAGCACAGGGTTCCTGAAGAGGAAGCTGGAAACACTGAAATTGCATGTATTTTCCCAGGGCTGGCTCTGTTGTGAATCAACATGGTTTTAAAAGGCATTAGAAAGAACACATCACCTCTTGTAGGGTTCACAGACAATCAAAACAAGAGCAAGATAAATACATCGCTTTAAGGTTTCAAATGTGATTTTCCTAAATGAAGAAAATCTAAACATATGGCAAGAAGCTTTAAAATCTGTTAACGTGCAAATGTCATGATAAAAATGGAACTGGTGAGTGTTAACGAACTGCCAGGCCACATTCTCTGAAAATGGAAGGAAATCTCTTGAATTCGTCTTATCCTTTCACTGTGGAGCTAACTAAATCTGGCACTGGGGACTACTTCTCCCAGACTGGCAGTGAAATTTTTAAGAAAAAGTGCTACTTGTTAGGCTTAAATATACTGAAAGGGAGGTTTAAAATGAGGTAATGCAGGAAACCTGGTGATTGTGGAGGTTTGGATCCCAGTTCCGTCTACTATGTGACTTTGAGCAAGTCACCTGACCTCTCTAATTCTCCATTTCCTCATCTATTCAATGGGAATGATAATTCTCAGCTTAAAGGATTAGTATATTCCTCCATCAATAATATCAGCAAAATACCTGGTCATTGTAGGGGCTGAAGATAAGGGAATTCTTAAGTGATGGACAGGCCAGCCTCCATCTTCAACCTGGCCCATCTGACAGTCACCGTGAAGTGAGTATAAGCTCCCAGCGGTAGCCTCAAGTAAGTGGCGACAGGGATTCAGTAAGTGGCCTTCAGAAAGGAGAGCTAAAAATTCATCCTGACTTAATCAGTGAGCACACAAGTACATTATCAAGCTGTGTGTTAATCTCTGCCACACTGTCCTCTCATCTGCTATTGAAATAAAACAACAGCCTGACCTTTGGACAATGTGTTTAAGCTTTTATTATGAATGGTAACAGCTTGGGGCCTTCAATCTAATCAACAAAGAGCCTAGATGTAAAAAGCATCAATTGGAAGACTCTTTTTGGAGAATTGTTCACAAAGCAAACAAGTGCAAACCAGAAGATGCTGCTTGAAGATCATGAATTTAGTCAAGGTTGAAAGGTACAAGAACAGTTAAGTATTTTGCACAAAGGAAATCTTGATGATCCAGTAGAATCGGTGTTCGCAGAATGCAGTCTCTTAAGGGTTTTGCTTTCTCCTTTCAGAGAGATGGTCATTGTCATTGTTCATTCAGCTGGGAGTTCCTTCCTTCTCGTTGAGAACCTGGAGCAGAGAATCTACCAGCTTAAAAAATATTAGAAAGAGTTAAGCAAACACAGGGATGCTGAAGTCTAATACCAGAAGTAAATCCATTCCCAAAAAACCATCATGGCCACTTTGGAGTTACAAAGGCAAATTCTTAGGTGAACCCCAGACCTACTGAATCAGAAACTCTGGAGTGGACCCCAGCAATTTGCATTCAGATGACTCTGAGCGTGGAGAATTTGGGAACCACAGTTGTGCCCAGAGGGAGAAATTCTGCTTTTCTTTTTTTTAGCTACTGGATTTTGGGGTCTTTTGGTTATACCAGCTTAACTTAAGCCCTGATTACTCAGGTCTATTTTAACCAATGTTGGAAATTAACCAATGTTGGAAATTAATTATCCACAGGAATTTATTTCTCGAGTAGCAGCTGAGAAAGGGGACTCAGAGAATGTGAAATTTGAATTTTTAATTTGCATACGTTGACAATGCCTCATGACACCAATCAAAGCCAGTCTCTGAACTATGCAATTACTCATTACAAACCTATAACTGTAAATGGTAGTGGTGTGGGCAACTTGGGAAAAGGAGTTAATCTGGGTTTCTGCCAATGCTAAATTTATTGTGGTTTGCTTGTTGTGGCTTATGCTCAAATTAACTAAGACTGAAGAGAGAAATAGTAGCTATGATTTTAAAATACTTATTTGTTCCCATATAATACCCTTTACTCACCAAGATGAGGAAACACTTTGCATCCAGGCTAGAACTTATTACTCTTCTCACAATTCTCTAGCAATTCCGATCCCCCAACTTCCAGATTAGCCATTTGTTTCTAACAGAGGAACTACTGATATTCTCAAAAATATTGTCTGTTCTCTTTTGACCCAGTGCTCAACTGTTTTGACCAAGCGCTAATGAGCCCAGGACCTGGAGTTCGTCTCCCACTTGCCAATTAGCTTTGCTTTCCTCCGCGAGCCCAGGATGCCCTGTTAAGGGCAGCCAGCCTGTCTGAAGATGCCACCACCCATCTTGCCTTATTAACCACTGTCATACAAGGGGCCAGTTGACATGTGGGAAAAAATCCACAGAAGTTCTCCCATTGGCTCAAAATATTGAACATGAGAGGTTTGGCTCAAGGGAATGGAATCAAGCTAAAAGGGAAAGGCGAGCCATGGAGCCCAGGAAGACCAAGGAGCCAGGAGTTGAAAGGTCCAAGTGTAGGGTGTAGGAAGGAGCTGTACGTGAGGTGGGGGGCGGCTTCACTCTGCTCCTTCCCAGAAACCATTGGGGTAATCAGAGGGTTATTAGTCATTCTTTTTTTTTTTTTGGTTTTTTTGAGGCAGAGTCTCACTGTGTTGCCTGGGCTAGAGTGCCGTGGCGGCAGCCTAGCTCACAGCAACCTCAGACTCCTGGGATCAAGCGATCCTTCTGCCTCAGCCTCCCGAGTAGCTGGGACTGCAGGCATGCGCCACCATGCCCGGCTAATTTTTTCTATATATTTTTAGTTGTCCGATTAATTTCTTTCTATTTTTTTTAGTAGAGACGGGGTCTTGCTCTTGCTCAGGCTGGTTTCGAACTCCTGAGCTCAAACAATCCGCCCGCCTTGGCCTCCCAGAGTGCTAGGATTACAGGTGTGAGCCACCACGCCTGGCCCCAGTCATTCTTGATTGTATGTTGCTTCCTCTATATTTGGAGCTTCCTTTGGAGCATTTCAAATATTAATAAACAAAACCTGCCTATTCTCTGTACTGATTGGATGGGACCCTGAGAGCAGTCCCTTAAAAATGAGGACCAACTGACACATTTACTTCCTTTCCATAACAGCCTCTGGAGCTCATTCCCAGCCCCCATCTTCATGTCCACAAAATAAAAGAAAAAAACCTAAGGCTACAAGGAACAGTGGACTGGATCCAAATAACAAAGGGAACCCAAAGGCCAACTGACACCTCCACTGAAACCCAGAATAAGGTACAGCCACATCCAGGATTATGGGTGAGGCCCCAGAGCTAACCTGAACACTGCTCCATGTTACAGAAACCATGGGGTAAAACCTCCATTAGTTGCAGAATACAATTAAATGATTTGGGAGAAGGGCACTGTTCAAAGACAGATTAAGGTTCACCTTGAACATGATTGGCCGTAATTGCCATGGAAATTTCCAAGCCTACTTGTCATGGAGTAGTAGTCTAGACTGCATGTTACACAAATCTTTTATGAATTAAGTAAATATCTTTGTCATAAAAACATAGGAAATGCTCTGAGTTTCTAACTACAGCTCTAGGAGAGTTGGCAACAGAACTTGGTGTTTTATTACTAAAATAGGAGAGGAGAACATATGTGGATAGTTTTTAATTTTAAGAAAAGTCCTGCAGCCTCTGAAAACTCCTGCTGCTAATTCTGGCAGTGCTCAGTGAGGTCATTAAGCTTCTCTCTAACACTGGGAGATGCATCAGTTTCTAATAGAACTATTCTCTTGGCACTCCCTCTTTTCGAATAAGATAATTGTAAGATATTTTCAATTTTCATAATGACATACTTTCATTGAGATGGAATTTTCAATGCAAGAGGAGTGATAAAATGTTTTGGTCTCTGCAAAGACTAAACTAACTGTGCAATTTGTTTTTCACATTACTGGGAAATATATCCAAACGAATAGTACCAATGTGTGCAATAGCTAATGATTCAACTTGAGGTGGAATGAAAAGGGATGGGCTTTCTAAACTTGCAAAAATAAAAACAATGCATAGAAAGAGTAGAAAAGCAAGGCCTGATGATAAAAAGATGATCTTTTTCAGCTCACACGGGATAAGTACTATTCCCTTTAAGCAGTCAGTCTTCATGGCGGCCCACACAATCTGTCCTGTAATACTGCCACTCGGAGACCTTTGTAAAGCTATGTGTTTGTAATTGCCTTTGAAGTTTACAGAATATTCTTCTGAACATAGTGGGACATTTTTGATCCTTAAAGAAGAAGTTGAATTTTTCAAAAGATTCCAAAGATAATGCAGAACAAGGTTGAGGAAATAAAGCAATTCAAACTAAACATTGCCGTATGGTTCAAAACTGGGGCATTATAGGTTAATAATATGATGGTGTGTGCTGGTGAGGGGGGAGTATTTTATGAACAAGCTGTGAGGGCAAGTCCCTGTCAATGTCTGTAAAAGTTATTTTCCAGGGTTTTGCGGTGGTGATTTTTGTTACTCTTCAGACAAATGGGAAGGGTACCACCGTTGAATATCCACCCCCTGGAACTCCAGCAAAGCACTTGACCAAGAAAAGGCATGGCAACTAGGAGCTGCGAAGGCAAACACAAGTTCACAGGGCCCACAGAGGCTGATCACATAACACCCATAACACAGGTGTGGAATCTCTCAGGCCTTTGCGCAGAGTTGGTACTTATTTCTATATTGATCGATTTAATCCAGATTTTTCTTTCTGAGTAAAAGGTACTAAAGACTTTCTCTCTAGGTGCTTAGTGCAACAGATGAACTTTTAGTTTGCATTGAGCATAGGAAATCCATGGTAAACCAAAGGGCAGTGAAACACGAGCTTTCCTCCAGAGAAGCCAACTGAGGCTTGGCAATGTTGTCCCTGAGCCTCTGAAAGGGGCCATCAGCCAAAAAACTATCACCATGGAATACTGAAGGAGGGAGTTCTCCCAGCTCTGTGAGTAAAAAGCAGTATTATTTATGGTCAGAAACAGCGAGAAACAAGGCCTGCTATTACATCCTGCATCCTCCGTATTTAAGATCAATAAGGACCATTCCCTGGAAGGTGTCTCGCAAGGTACAGACTGTGCAAGACAGACTGAGCACGGGCTCTTGCCCTGGTTTCATCAATGAAAAGTTATGTGACTAGTTTTAGTTTCCTCACTTCTAAAATGAAGAGAATAATAGAATCTTCCTTCTAAGACTGCTGTAAGCATAAACTGAGAAAATCAAGGTAAATTGCTTTAGCTTTCCTGGATTATAGTAAATACTCAATAAAATTAGCCATTATTATTATTGTTATTGGAATTATTATTTTTGTCTTTTATTATATATCATGAAAACCTTATAAAAGTTAGTGATAATCACCCCATTTTCAGTTGCCTTGCTTTCTTCTTATAAATTTTTTTCTCTCCTTTATCCTGTTCACTGTCTTTGTATCTAAACATTGACAGCTTGGTGTCATTATTTTCCTGTCCCCTCTATAAAATCATGTACAAGATGAATCACTTGGCCTCAGATAGGGTCACCAAGTTTTGAAATATTAGGATGAAACCTGAACTAGGTAGTCTTAGAACAAATATGAAGAAGTACTACTTTGCATATAAAGTAGCCAACAAGAATGCTCTCTTCTAAAAACGACTATACATAGGCTCTTCCACTAGTGTTCATCAAAAATAAACATAAAGTCTGTAGGCCCAGTGAGATTAACACAAATAGTCTATGGACTCACTGTCAAAACATTCTGGTAGGATATTGGAAGTTTAAAAAAATGCCATCAATGCACAAATTGGGAATAAAACTAGACACAATTGCTAATAAAACTCCTAAATTGGAGTTTGGAATCAATACCCTCTCAAGGGGCTAACAGGAAAAATAAACTATGACATCAAAGAGAAAAGGTAGCATGGAAATTGTCTGCTGATTTGCTTAGCATTATTGGTGTTGGCCTAATATAGTGGTTGTAAAGGCTTAAAGCCATTTTCTTCTTCCTCTCCTTGCATTCTCTCCAAACACCTCCCGTCCCACTTCTCTAGTATCTTTGTTTACCTTTGCGTCTTGAACCTACATCTTTGAAGCTGCTGAATCCCAAGTAGGCTGGTGATTGCCCAGGGGGTCCAGGGGAGGTGGCTGGAGGCGTCTGTTCTCCTTTTCTTCTAGGAGACCCAGCAAATTCCTGGCAGCATCTTCCCACCGAATGTACTCTCTCAGCCGCTGCTTCAGGCTCCCTCCCTCAGAAATAGGTGGCGACTCTCCTGTGCTCTTTTTTCCCATTAAGTGCCCTGTAAAAACCCAAACAAACAAAAAAAAAACCCAGAATGCCACAAATTGTACCAAAGGAATTGAATGAAAGAGAAATTTAAAGGACACCAATTATGTTGGCTTCCTCCTATGTGCAGAAGAAATAGCATTTTATTATGAGGAGTTAGTTTATAAATGACAGATTTTGCTCTCTGTTCAAAATGTGCAATGAGCAAGACAGAATTAAGAACTGCAACCCAAGAGCCCTGGGTTTGGTTCCAGCACCTCTGCTAACTAGTTAGGTGACCTCTGCCAAGTCATTCAGCGTGCCCAGTCTTCAATTTTCTCAACTATAAAATGAACAGGGTGGACTAGATTAATCTAGGGAAGCTTCCATTTCTAAAATTCTATCATCAATTCTGTGTACACTGAATTCTATTCCCAACTGGAAGATGGAGTTTAAACGCCTTCCCCAGTCAATTTTGAATTGCTGCTGACAGTAAAAGTCTTGCTGCTTTTCTTTGTGTTGGTAAAAAAAAAAAAAAAAAAAAGTCGCTCTCCTTTTATCTGTAATACAAAAGTACCAAAGGAATTTTTCATTTAAACTTTTGCAGAATTTTAGCTGATATTGAATCTAGGAAATTTTACCTAGAAATTACAGTTTGTTAAGCATGTCGTAAAAAACAAGTTGAAAACAAGCTCTGAGTAATACTTCCTAGCCACATAAATCAGAATTTACTCTGGGGTATCTGAAATGGTCAGTGAAAGTCTATCAGTGGCTCCAGGAATGTGTGTCTGCCATGTAAATAAATAAAAACATGTTCGTGCATACAAGAGAAGGTAACATAGACTCAGAAGTGGGCAGAGAATTCAAGATCTACATACTTAACACTTTAGCTCCTTGCTTAAATATACTCATGTTATCTACTTTCTTCAGTTGGCTTTCCCCATCTCTCTGTAATTGGGCTTCATAGCATTTTGGAATTTCCAACAGCAATGAAACTACGGTGCTTTTGATTTCCTTGTGTGCACCATAGTGCACACAAGGAAAAAAGTTTTCATGGTTCCAATGTTGACTGGCATTAGAAGTATTTATGGCAAACCTTCTGGGAAGAATATTTGAAAGATCTTTGGTCTCTTAAAATTGAAAGAGGCCCCTTCCAGCAACTGTATCCACCAACAGGGAAGCCCTCACCCTAACTTCATTGCTTTCATGTGTACGGCAATGTACAGTTTACTGGATGTTTAAATGCCTTATTTCATTTGATCCATACTGTGATAGGTTTGGTGAGAATGAGACTTGCCAGAGATCATACGGATGTAAGCAAAGGTTCTAGGATTAAAATCAGCTCACAGTCCAGACTTTATTATACTGCCTTGTAGTGTCCTTCAACTTCCTAAGAATATAGGGTAGCTAAAAATCATTCTGGGGTCTGGAAATAAAGATAAGGTCTACAAAAGGCTTTGTAATGTTATAGAAAGGAATAGGGATTATATATTGGTATATCAGGACTTATTATGTGACTCAGAAAATTAATTCAGTGACTATTGGGGAGCCTTAAAATGAAGTTTTACTGCATTGCAGTGTGAGAACTTGCCAAATCACCTGTGACATGGCGCTTCACACAATTTCAAGACCCTACTGGGGATACTGTCCCAAGAGAAGGATTGGAATCCTGAGCGACTGGCTTCTCACTTATCTGCTTGGTCAATGTGGTGCCCAGAGATCCACTAAATAACCTTGCATTCAGCCATAGCAGTGACTATGTTGTACAACTTCCCAGGAAGCAGCGATGCATTCGGCTTTATTTATGTGGAGGAAATTGCATCACGATGATTGGAAGGCAGGATTAGAGCCCTGATGCTCCCAGCAATAACCTCGGTCACTCTTGCCTTCCTAATTGCCTGTCATCTAGTTAGGAGGCTGGAAATGAGACAAGAGATCCTGCCAGTGAAGTAGAGGGGTAATGGAGATATTTTTACAAATAAGAACTTCATTTTTGTCATGCCTGAAAAATTTAGTGGACTTTTCTAACATGGGAGGAGAACGTCACCCTCCATTCTGTGATTGTACTGAATTTCAATACTTGCATATATGGGGAATGTGTTCAGTTTCCCACCCTTAGTCCACAGACTGTTCAGTAAGGAAAGCACACCACCTAAAACATCCCAGCGAAGCACACATTCCCTGGGTCCTATTTCACTTTTGAGCTGGCTACTGTCAACCATATCATTGTCTCCATGGCAACAGGGATGATATGCCCACTTCTACCTCTTCTCACATCATTATTTGTCATGGGTCCATATCCTAATAATGGAGATCTCAGCATAGACAAAAGACAGGCACTTGAAAAAAGAAAACCTTGCTCAAAGGAAAAAAAATCCTTTTGTCCTTTTTAATCACTTAAAGATACCACTAAAGGGCAAATTTCAAACACAAATGAGTAAGTCATAGGTTAAAGTGCTGAGTACTTCTAAGAACTAGTCTTTCTGGAGACACACTTAAACTCTTTCCCAGTTTCCGAGACAGCACTACAATGACAAGCCATTCTGCAGCTGAATACTGGTGTTTCTGACTTTAACCTTTTGGGATACACCTTACATCAGAGTTAGATCCACAATTAGGAGCATTTCATGGGAGGACAGGGAGTAGTCACCAGTGTTAGTGTTGACATATATTTTCATCGCACAAACAAAACATTTCCATGAACATCAAGCCAGACAAAAATTTGTTAAGTTTTTAAGCTGTCAACCTGTTTTCCCTTGCTGCACCATGCTTCTCTCAGCTGGAAGAAGCAATTCACTTAACAAGCTTGCAAATGTGTGCTGACAGCTTCCTTGTGGACAGCGTTATGTAGCTTTAGTTTTACATAATTAAAACTAAACTGCATGTTTTTGGTGACTGTGGAGGATAGGCATTTTCTTGGGATAATTGAAAGATAAATCTAAATTTTAACACTACCATTCATCTTTGTCAATGCTCATATTCCAACAGAAGGCATGTCTACCCAAAGCAATCTTTTTCTCAACCACAATGTAATTTTAGGCTGAAATGTGATTTCCTACTTCACCTCCCTCTTTCCCAAGCTCTTCCTATACTCTACACAGTCATCAAAGGGAGAAAAAAGAAAAAAAGAGTGTATTTGAGAATAAATAAGAAAATGGCATTTGAGGTTGCCACTGGTTGGTATAACTGTGGGTTAGGAATGTCCCAGTACCACTGTGCAGGGTGATTACATGCCAGACACCCTAAATACCTGAGGGCAGATGGGCCCCAGGACCACAGCAAAGTGGGGTTGGCTTGGCTTGCACTAGAAATAAATGATGCTGGCTTCCCAGCTAAACCCCTAGTCCTCCTTTGGGCCTGCAAGGATTACTTAATAATAAGCAATTTTAGTGCAAAATGTGGACAAGCAAAAAAGGTTGGAAATCTGGATGTTTCACTCCACCTTTCCAGCCTGGTGGTTGGACCAGACAAAAGCCACTTGATCTAAGCTCCCAGAAACCCTTTTTAAGAAGTATCAGTTCTAAGTTTGGATTCTTCAGCACCTTCTAAGTATCCTTCATTCTTGAAATGCAGGGTTTCTCAGCTTCCCCCACCCAACCTCTCCTCTCCACACCAGACTCCTGGGTTTCTCCTGTTCCTCAGGATCACAAATCCTCTCATCCCCGAGACTGTCAGGACTTGGCAAATGATTCTTTTAGCAACAGCAAAAACTGCTCTATTGCAGCCCTGGCGCTCTTGACTTCTCTGACAAAAGCACACGCAACCCAGAAGAGCTGAGGACAATAAGACAGTTCCCCTTCCCCAAAATTCTTCCTTGTATTTGCACCGACATCTGTGAATCAATTGATATTTGCATTATCAAATACCTTTCCAACACCCCGACCTGTCTCCTAGTAGATGACTAAGGAAATACACACACACACACACACACACACACACACACACACACACTCGCGCCTTAAATCTCTTCATGGGTCAACCAGCTTCCTAGGAAATGTTGGGGTTGTCCCAGTTGTCTATGTGGGGGAGGGAGTTGTGAGGAAGTCGGACGCTTTGTATTCGCCAAAGGGTCTGCTTGGCGAGACTGAGAGCCCGGGGACGCTGGGCCAGCCCGAGGCTGCCGCCACCACCTGCCTCCCAGTCGCGCGAAGGCTGGAGCAGCGCTCGGCGGACTCCGGACCTCGCGTGCGCCCTCCACACCCGCCGCGCGGCGTTCCTCTCCGCCGGGGTTTGGGGGACTGGGGAGAGGGACGGCGGGGACGAGGGAACATCCGAGCCGCTGCCTGGAGAGCAGAACCTGTTGGCAGAGGGGGTGGGAAAGGAGCTGGGGAACGGGCGAGGTCGTGGGTCTAGAGAAGCGGAGAAGAGCGGGGCTCAGAGGGGCAGAGACCGCGGTGAGCAGCGAACGCAGGCGCGATCCCCGAGGCGCCGAGCCCGCCGGCTGGAAAGGGAGAGCGTTGGGCAAAAGGGCCGGGAAAAGAATATCGCTGCAAAGGGAAGAGAAGGACGGAGAAAACTCAGGAGAGCCACGAACACAGGTGGGATTCAGGGACTGCTCGATGAACAGACTTTCACCCCAGGGCTGAGCGCTGCGCCCCAGATGCCCACACCTGTGGCTTCTCCGGGCGCAAAGGCGCAGCCTGGGTTCCAGCCCACGCCGGTCGGAGTTGAGGCCACCGAGCTGGACCGCGGCTCCGAGATGTACTCAGGGGTCCCTCTCCCCAAAGTTGTCCAAGGAGAGTACCGTGCCAGACAGGGTTGAGATCAGGCGGACAAAAAGAGGTGTTGGGCAGGTGCGGAGCGAACGTGATCTGCGCGTTGGATGGGTTTTTGGAAAGCTGCGCGCTGGCTCGGGCGCCCTGGGGAAGAGCGGGAGACACCTGGGCGGGAAGCGAGAGGGAAAGGATCCAGGGACCAGCCTGTGGCCAGTAAGGGACTGATGGGCTCCCCAGGATAGGGAATGGTAGGGTGGAGTTTTAGGAGAACGGGGAACGTATTTCAGTAGAAAGGTCAGAACAAACCCAGCCCCCAAAACCGGGCCCGGGAAACGCTGAGATGGGGAGACAGGTCCCCTCTGACTGGCACATCCCGCCGAGGACACTCACCCACCGCCCAGTGGTTGCCGCGCGGGTACATCTTGGCCAACACGGTCCCTCCTCCCACCGGCACAGGGACCGCTGGCCCTCGGGGCGCCTGGCAGAGGACCAGCGCCAGCAGAACGAGTGGGAGCTCGCGGCGGCGCATGGTCCCGGCGGGAAGCCCTGGGAGCGCCGCGGAGAGGCTGGGCAAAGAGTGCGCTCTCCCCACGGAGGAGCCACGGGAGGACCAGGACCTCGGAGGAGCTCCACCGCCGCAGCCGCCGGCGCCACTGCTGCAGCCTCCACCGGGCCCCGACTTTATATGGAAGCCCGGGCGGGGGCGGGTGGGGGGCTCTTCCACCGCGGACCGGAGCGCTCTGACGTCTCCCTATAGCGAGCCGGGGCGCCGGGACGCCCGGCCTGGAAAACCATCCATCTCCGCCGAGCGATGAAGAGGCTGAATGTACGCTGCCCCCTCTCGCTTCCCCTCGCAGTCCCGTTGGCCTTCCCCACATCGGATGAATTCCTTCTCTCCTCGACGCCTTCGCTCCAACACAATCCGGGGAAGTCCTCCCTCTCCGGCCTCACCAGGGGCCTCCCGCGTCAGCTGCCTTCCGATTCCGCCAGGGGGAGCGGCGCCCCGGCCACCCGATCTCGGCGGGTGGAGAGGGGCGAGCTCCAAAGGTGGATGCTTTGGGGCTGGGCTATGCTGGAGGGGTTTGGAACCGCGATTGCAAAGGACTTCTGATTCTCCAGACCTTTCCTCTCCATGGACTAGCTCCTCGCTGTCCCAGCCCATAGACTTCCAGACCTTGCCTTCTTGCAGGGCGCCCTCTCTCCCTCCCTCTCTCTTCCCCGCTCCCATCTCTTTCTCTCTCTTCCCCACAGCAGCAGCATCCTCACCTCCACCCCGTTTTCCGCACCCCTGCCCTCTGCCCACTTGCATGGTGAGATGGAGGATGAAACAGAAGACACACGGCCCCTTTCACAGGCATACGGCTTCCATGTCACCAAGGAAGAAACTGCTCTTGTGCTGATTTCCCTGGGCTGCACCTACTAAAAAGCTCAAACTGTCCCTAAACTGCTACACGCACACACACAGACACACACCTGTCTAGAGTTGCTCAATTTTCCTCTGCTCTTTCTGTTCTTAGATCTGAAGAACGGTCACCAGCCCAATCCCCGAGGTTCTAGGCGCCATGGATACAAAGGGGATGGGCACCATAGCGATGCCACAATAAATAGAAGCTGGTAGGATGCTGGTGCCCACGATCTGACTGCCAGATCTGATTGTGTGGTTGTGTTTGGAATAGGTGAGGTCGATTCCTCACCAAGTGATTGTGACTTGCCCCCTTGGTGGGTCTTTAGTGTTCCATGCCCACATGGTGTTGATATTGATGAAGTTGAAAATGTACACTTCTGTCTGAATATCTGGTGATTCAATATGTTTGTGCCTTCTTAGGTGATTACACACACAGGTTGCATAACTGAGTATTCTTGGGCTTGAAGAGTGTTTTCATGCGTGTGTCTGGCTCTACAGAAAAATATGCTAATTTTAAGATCATTAATAGTAGCCAAGGAAGTATAGTAATACTATCCTGAGGGAGTAATCCAGGTGAAAACCAAACGGAAAAGGTCTACCATTGGCCTGGACTCCATCGCTCCTGGGTTCCCAGGCACCTCCATTCCATCGGTAAGCAGGTGTTCCACTGACAGGTAACTGATCATCCCTAGGCTTGCCACCTCCCTCTCAGTGAGCTTGCTTGAAGGCAGGGACTTGGTCTTGTTCCTCTGTGACCTGCAGAGCGCCTGGATCATAGTGGTGCTCTGTAAGTATTCGATGAATGAGCAGATAACCTAAGAAGTGCTCAGTTCTAAATGTCTTCTACAACCCTAGGTATTTGGGGGAGCATTAAACCCTTGTATCTCCAGATTAAGTTATAGAAAAATGTCCTTTCCCCTTAGTTTAATCAAGACTATTTTAGAAGCTTTTAAATAAAAATCCCCAGTCCCATGAAACTAAGGGAAAACCACTCTAAAGACATTCAATTGTAGGAACAGTTCTACAGAAAGCACCACTCTTCTAATTCAGGCCAGGGTAGTAACCCAGGCCCCCCCCCATTCATCTCAGCTCTTGCTCTAAGTACCCCAACCCACAGGTTTTCTGCCCCCAGACTAGGGCTGGGCCATGTGACTTGCTTTGGCATCCTGCAAGGTCAGCACCCGTGTCAGCCTTGTTCTGGGCTACATCCACGCTGCCTGGGACAGTCTTAGGCACAGAGAAGGGACTTAAGAGATGTGAATGGGTGCATTGTCCTACAGGTGTAGAAGGCTGAGTCCAGTCCCCTAACCAGAAAGACAATGGATGTTACCAGTTAGAGAATGGAACCGTTGCATGTTTGAGTCGGCTGATGTGAATGAGCTCCAACAGATCCTGGCTGGGGGTCCTTTCAAGTGCCTTTTAAAATCCTCCCCGGGTAGAGATGATTAACCACACTGACTTAGGGGAAAGCTACACTGCTATAAGAGAGATCTCTTACAGATCTCTAAATGCAATAACCCATTGGAAAGAGAAGTTTGTTTCTCTTTTTTTTTTTTTTTTGTCTAGGGCAGGTGTTCCAAGTTGGCAGGCAGCTCTGTCCCGCACAGATATTCGGGAACCTGGGTTCATACCATCTTGTGCCTCTCCCATTCCCTAGTGCAGCACTATGCAAAGGGCTGGGGCCCGCAAGGAGATAAGAAGCTTGTGTCAGAACGTAAATCAATACACTGCTGCCTTCATTGAGAACATCTTGCTATAGAAAAAATGTCAGCCGAATGAAACAATGTGTTTAGTGGTGTCACTGATTTCGGTCTTTATCTCATCTGGGAATGAGCAGCTGATCTACAGACCACACGTGATTAGCACTGTCCTAAAGCCCTGTTCCTGTCTGCGTGGCTTGGGTTGCAGCTGGTGGTAGGGAAAGTGCAGAGGCGTGCCCACTCTCTTAATGTCACAGCCCGAATGTAGCACTTATCTCTTCTGCGCTTATTTCATTAGGAAAGAGCCAGGCACATGGTCACAGACAACTGCAAGAGAGAGGTTGGGGATTACAGTCTCGTAGTCAGTTGTGCCTGGCTCTGATTGCATCGCTGTGGAAAAAGGAGCCAAAGGAGTTTGATGGACAGCTGGGAAACTGCCAGAACTGGCCCAGTGTGTCTCAGGCACTTGGAGAATCCTGCAGATTGTATTTGATTAGATAACACTAGATTCTACAAGGTTGGTCAGGAGGAGCATCTCCTTGTGAGGAGGAGCAACTGGAATTCCCAACTCCTCCACCCCAGAGTTCTGTGTCTTTTAGGGGATTTCTTGTTGCTACCATGACCAGCACTCCTTGGGTTCAGTGGGGTGCTGTACCCTCTTATCACTGTGGCCCAAACTGAGACGCTCCATTATTGAATTCCCCATTCAGGAGCATTTAATCTAATCTTTCTAAAAGAATCTTATCATTCAGCTACTTCCACGGAAATGCTGTGTAACAAACCGCCACCACCTTTCAGCGGCGTGCAGCAATCAGATTTACTTTCCATGTGCGTGCAGTGGGGCTGGAGCGGCTTTGCTGATCTCCTGTGGGCTCTGCTGGCCTTGTCTCCAGGCTGGGGTTTGCTTTAGGTTTAGGTCACTGCACATGTCTCTCGCCCTGCTGGCACCAGTGTGCTGGCAAGAGCATGCTCCTCTCGTGGCGGGGCAGGGAGACAACAGGCAGTACACGGAACTCACACGCTGTCGTTTCTCCCTCATGCCATTGGGAGTCAGATGCAAGTCACACGGGAAAGCCCACGGTCTGGAGGCAGTGAAGCATGCGTTGCCCGCAGTGTGACTGTGCTGAGGATGTGGCTGCAGGGAGGGGTAAAGAAGGGACCACTACTTCAATCCATCACCGTGCAGAGAGAGTAGAGGGGAAACGGACACAAAGAGTGGCATCCAGCAGAATGATCTGGCCAACAGGACGGTGTTATTCATTGGCCTGGCATCCCTGTGTGCCCTTCCTCTCCACTCCCAGGTGGTGTTTTCCAGGAAATTCTATAGCTATTTCCCTCAATGGGCTCTCTACTCCACAAGGCATGAAGTATGTCCTTTTAGATTTATAAAGATTTCGGGTCAGTTTGTATCTTGGAATTTTTCTCTTCCACAGAGTGTGGCGTGACTTCAAGGGGGTCACCCCAGAGGCTGGGATGGTCTAATTAGGCCCGTTTGTGTGCTGGGAAGAGAGATCCCTCAAGCTAGCTCAAGCAAAGGGGGACTACTGGGAAACTCAAAGACAGGAACTGTGGGGGTCAGCTGGGTCTCAGGGGAATGAGGACCGGACCCAAGGCCCCCAGAGTCCACTCTTCTTTCTGTGGACTGACTTCCTTGCCCTCCCATGAGTTTCCATTTCTGCATAACTTCAGCCTGCTATGTGGCCTGTTCACTGTGCCCACCCCAGCATGCTCTATCAGGGACCTCTTTTCACCTGGCCTCCTGGCTGGGAAGACAGCCTCTGCTGGAAACTGCCTCTGCTTCTCAGCATCGTCATGCCAGATTTCCAAGAGAAACACGAGTTGCCCAGCTCATAATTTTGATCCAGACACACAGGTTATAGGTTGCTCAACAGTTTATAGATAAGTGAATCCTATACGTCCAATCAGCTCTTGTCAGGGTCTAGGAACATGCAATGGCAGATGTGGCTCTGAGCAGGACTGTGTCCCCTGAACAGAAGGCACATAGTCTTGTGCCTGATATTCCATGATTTATGCCGTGTCCTTTTAGCTCAGTGACGCCCAGACATTTCATCACCAAGGCCATTTGTAAAATTATTTTCACCCATGGATCGCAGGCTCTAACAAGCTTTTTACTGTGTAACAAGCCATATTTATTTAGATTTCCTATTTTCATTCATCAAAGGCATAAGGAACTGTCCATCAGTCTCTAATAGGGTTGAAATAATCAGCCTTACCAAAGAGAGTCTATGTAATTCCAGCCCAAGTCAATGAAATGTTTTATTTTAGTTAGTCTCTTCAGCTGCATCAGGGGTCAAATGTATGTTTTGTTTTTTTTTTGAGACAGAGTCTCACTTTTTTTGCCCAGGCTAGGGTGAGTGCCGTGGCGTCAGCCTAGCTCACAGCAACCTCAAACTCCTGGGCTCAAGTGATCCTTTTGCCTCAGCCTCCTGAGTAGCTGGGACTACA